TGGGAAATGAGAGAAACGCGGTGCACAGGGCGTCGATGCCACACAGCTCCGCCTTCTTCATTCCTGCACCTGCAATCGTTGTGTCAGGCTTTGAATACAAATGCCTCACCGTCACAGCTGCCCTGTCGCGCGGCGTCACACGGGTCACAACACATACAAAATCACATATATACACACATGACCAAAAAAAACACAGAGAGAGAGATATTTTATCTTGTATTTCCTCCTCTTGTAAGACTATCATATAATCCTTCGATAAGTTCACCTCATCGGAACTGCCTACCTCTTGAACACTTCCCCATCCATGCACATCTACTCCGATAACTCGCACCGCCCAACGCAGCACCAGATGAAACAGTTCCTGGNATCGTCACAGTTGCCACTGTCGCGCGGCGTCACACAGGTCTCAAGAGATACAAAAACACATATACACACATGAACAAAATACAAACACAGAGAGAGAGACACTTTATCCCATATTTCCTCCTCCTGTAAAACTATCATATAATCCTTCGATAAGTTCACCTCATCGGAATTGATACCCCCTCAATGCTCCCTCATTCATGCACATCCGCTCCGATAACTCGCACCGCCCAACGCAGCACCAGATGCAACAGTTCCTGGTCCAGGTATTATTGCAATGGAGGGATACTGGGCAAAGGGGAGAGGGAAGGAGTATTCTTCAGAGTGGTAACAGGAACAATGAAAGTAGACGGCATGGGGCTCAGGATTTGGAGATTTCCTTCTTCCTCTCGTGTTGTTGTTTATTTGGGCAAAGCATTGACACATTGGGAATCACCTTCATGATGCACTACACACCTCAATTATCCTTGTCGCTTGATGGGTCATGATTATCTGGTGGATGCATAGAGGGTGGCTCATTGAGCTGTTTGTAATCTTTTCCCTGCGGATCGTAAAGCTTCATATGTCTTCTCTATCTGTGTCATCACAATACTCTCGTACGCACTCAAGCACCTTCTTCTGATGAGCTAACTGCTTCTTGTAAAGAACCTTGCGTCTCTCAGAATCGTTTTACTCCAGCTCCTGTGATTCCTTTGGCCAGTG